GAAATTTCAATGTATTGCTTTCAGCAATGAAAAAAGAATGATTTTAAAAAATGATTTGAAGCTTGCCAATCTTCACTCAGCAACAGATTTTTCTGCTCAGCATAAACTATTAGGAATTTGACTCGAAACTCAATTAACTAAAGGAAAAAAATAACGGCGTCAATGGCAAAAAGCTTTTTCTCCCTCACCACTCCAAACTTGCCAGGTATTAGGCAATTACATAAACTCGGTTCGGCTGATGATCTGTGGTGCTTGGGCCTACCAGCGCTTTGCTCTATCATCTCTGCCAGAAGTATTTTGCGACGCCGCTCGCTGGAACTTTGCCAGACGCGCTGAATAGTGCTGCCCAGTGTCTAGCGGCTGGATCGCGTGGTCGGGGGTGATGGGTGGGAGGATTGGACGTGGTTGGGAGATGTTGGTTAGTAGTTGCCCAGATACAGCTCAGAAGGCGAGTTTCAGGCCAGGATAGTGGGACGGAATGAAGTTGCTGTTTAGGAGTTCAGGACGATAAACGGGATAGTAGTTGGAGATGATGGGTGCCCCAATGCGACTCTGGAGGCAGGGATTGGGGACAGGATACAGGAGAGGAAGAAGGGTGCTGGCCAGGAGTCCAAAACAAGAACAGCAGATAGCAGTAAAGAGGAAAATAAACTAACACGGCACTACAAAGAAAAGTAAATTAAAACAAACTTGAATTTGTGAATAAAAGGAAAATAACTGGCCAACGCACGGGCTGCCCGTGCGAAGATGCGTTTTTTGCAGAGTTCCCCGCACGTCGCTACCGGCATCGGTTTTTTCGGCAGATGCTTCTAGCAGAAAGAATTTCAGACTGGCCGCCAGAACTGTCAGGAAACATTTCCTCAAAATTCCAGTCTTCAAGCTTCTCACGTTCTCGAGTAACTTACGCGGAAGGAAATCTTCACGGGACTGTATATAGGTACCACGCTTACCCACGGGCAGGGTTAATACCCACTTAGACAGGGAACAACCCCCTAAGATTTCAACTCTAGCGTCTCAGAACCCCGAGTATGAATTTACGCAGGAAAAGTTTTGGGGGCTCGTAGGCGGGTACCACGCTTCCCCGGGGGCTGAATTTGAGCTCATTAGCACCTGCTTGGACGGGGAACATTCCCCTAAAATTTCAGC